ACAATGTTTTTTTTTATAACTTATTAATCATAAATAATTTAAATAAATTGAAAAATAATAATTTTTTAAAAATTGGAGAAGAGATATTTTTAATTATCAATTTTTAACTGGCAATTACTTAGCCTCCGTTTGGGAAGTGGGTTGGCTTTTTGGCTTTTTGGCTTTTTTGGCTATTTTAGCCTGGGCTAAAAAGCTTGGTTTGGGAAGGGCTTTTTGGCTTTTTGGCTTTTTTGAGTTTTTTTGTGAGAGAAAAGTGTAATGATTATGGGTTAGATGTGATGTTTTGTTTGTTATGGCTAAAATAGCCTGTTTTGTCTTTTGTGGCTATTTTAGCCCCAATACTAAACAGGCCCAATACAAACGAGATATTCGGATTGACGGGCCATCTTGAAAGTGGACCAATTCAACGCGTTGAAAGGCTCTCCAATATGGACCAATTTTAGTTTTCAGCCCATAACCAGTATTCACAGAACCGTTGACGCCAATACTCAAGTACTATTTAGGTCCAGTTTGGCTACTCAAAATAAGTACGTATTTTTTATCTTTTTATTTTTTTTTATCACATCACCTCTTTATTTTTCTATATATCTTTTCATAAAAAGATAAAAAGTGCACTTATTTAGGTCATTCCAAACAACCCCTTAGGGTTAACTATAGCAAGACCCTTTAAATTGTTAGGGAATATATTGAACCTTTTAATTTTGAAAATCGTACAAAAATTTCATTTTAAAGGTAGTTTGAATGGGGTGAAAATGATACGTTTTCGTAGTTGAAGGGGCAAAATATACGGATTTATATATGAAAAAAATAAAATAATATTCAGTAATAGTTGAAGGAGTGTTGTGTAATTAATTATACATCAAAGAAATAATATTTATCATAAATATTCATATAATAAATGTTATGTGTATGTGTGGTGCCGCCATATTTAATATATAGTAAACCCATTCATACAAATTTCATGGGGAGTTAAAGGTTGCGTTTAGTAGAGTTTTGTAAATAAAATTTGAGAGTATGAGTTGTGTTTTGAGTTTGTGAGTTGTGAAATTATGATTTGAGTGTAAAAAATTTATTTGGTTATGATTTTTGAATAGAGTGTTGAATTGAGTTTTGAATTGAGTGTGGAATTGAGTTTTGAAAGTTTGATTTGACATGTGAAATAAGAAAATTTGTTTGATTATGAGTTTTGGAAAGAGTTTTCAAAACTTAATTTAAATTGTTATAACTCATAACAAAACACACTACTTATACACTATTGAAAATTTTGATCAACACTCATAACCAAACTCTTTTTAAAATTTAATTAAAAAAAATTATTATTAACAGAAAATAACGTTAATCAATTTTTTAATTGAAAATACTACAAAGGAAATAATTTTTTTTCAAAATAAATATTCAAACAATTTAAATCATAAATATTTAAATAATTTAAATAATCTAAAAAATTTAATAAGTAAAAAAATAAAATAAATATTCAAAAAATTTAAATCGTAAAAATTTAAATAATTTAAATATTCAAAATTTTTAAATAATTTAAAATGTTAATATTTCAAATTTAAAAACAACTCTGCATTCAAATCGTAATCAAACACATAAAACAAAACTCAATTAAGAAATTATTTTTAAAACTCATAACCAAATACATAATTCGAAACTCCATACTACTTTCGCAACTCTACACTCAAATCGTAACCAAATATATAACAAAAAATTAAAATATTTAAAAATATTTTTATAAAATAGAGTTTGAATTTATTTTTATAAAATATTTTAAAATTTAAAAAATTAATGTACGATTTTCCTCTACTCAAAATTTTTATTTTATTATATTTAATGTATTTTCAATCATACAATATGATAAAAATGTTGAAATACAAAAATCTTGAAGGACGATCGTATGAGAGTGCAATATATAGAGCAAAACAGAGAATTGGAATACAGATAAATCACATACTCTTGCTTATATAATAACAATTTACAGAACTGGATATTACTCTTTGATAACATAATTATGATTTTATCTTTGAATTTTGTATACTTAATTTTTTTTGGATAAATTACAAATACATCCCTGAGATTTGTTTAAAATATAAATTGCCCTCTGTGGTTTAAAAAATTACAAATACACCCTTATTAAAAAAATTTATTTAACAGAATTAACTAAAAAAATGAAATTCATAATTGTTCTCATATACAATAATAACATTATATAAATTATTAATTGAAATATATTTTTAACATCATTAAAAATTATTAATTGACTTGATGATTTATTAATAAAAGGGGCTATTTGTTATGAAATTAGAAATCTTAGGGGGTGGAATGTAATTTTTAAATCTCAAGGAATGTTTTTGTAATTTTCCTTTTTTTTTTTTTTTTTTCTATGTATAAAACTCTCACCAACTTATAGTAGTTTATTTAATCAATTTATAATAGTGTTTGGGGGAAATTGTAATTAAATAAATACCTCCTCATTATTATTATTATTATTATTATTATTATTATTATTATTATTATTATTTATTTGTGAAAAGACTAATTGTAACAAAACTAGAGGTGAATAACACTTGGTTCATTCCAAATTTCCAAGTCACCACCTCTACTTGTATATATAAACCAATTAAAATATACTATATATTACTCACCCCAAAAATATACTATATAATTAATAGGTACACTTTTATAAACATTTATTTGAATAATAAATTATCCCAATGTCGTAATGACATATAAACATTGGAATATTTAACAAAACATTAATTTAACAAATTGTTGATAAAAATCTTAAATCATATACAGAGGGCTATTTTGAGAAAATGGTTAAAATTCATCTTCCAACTGTTAATCTATTTTAGGTCATATTACCTCTCATATTTTTTACACGTTTTTTCAAAAAAAATTTAAAAAGTCAAAAAATCAACTTTTAATTATTTTTTCAAAATAACCCATAATGATCAATGTTAATCTAACACGCAATGTGGGACCATTACAACATTATTTAAAAAGAAAAAAAAGAATAGAAATAGAAATAGAAAGCTAAATAAACTTTTTCTTTTTGTCAGCCATAACTTGGAGCAAAGTTCACTCTAAACTTTTTTTAATTTGAACCCATTTAACAACCATAAGCATTTTAAACATTTTTTCAATAATAGAATTATAGTTACAACACCAAACAAAGTTGGTAAGTTTCGCTTTCAAGACTAATACTCACTCATCCTATATAAAAATTTAAAAATAAAATAGAAATTGTCACTCTAGATCATACTAATATATAATTTTAAACATTCAAAATAATCAAAATATGTAAAATAATTTCGAATGGTGACATGAGTTTGAAATCATGGTTTTTGAAAATTGAATGGTGAACATTACTTAAAATTGTCATACAAATTTAGAAAAAATAAAAATTGTGTGTGCTGTTTTCTAATCACACCGTCAAATATGTACTCAGCTGGAGAACACCGACAGAATAAATTGCGCCTGAACGACCTGCCACAGAAAGATGAGACTCCGGCGGTGGTTCGTCCATCCGAGGGCACTTCGACAATCAAGTCAGTACTCAATTATTTATCAAAGATAGTAACTAGTACTTTAATTCACTAGCCATGAAAAAAAAGCGTACCTTATACCCATAAGGGTGCCATACTTTTATAGCCAGCACTGACTTGATCTCTGTAGAAGCCTAGCTTCTCTTGGACTCTGGCTCAATACTCATCCTGGACTCTCAAATAGATAAAGATAAACTCCCTAAGAGCTTTATCTTTATCCAAGCTGAGGTCCTCTTCCATTCTAGGACTCTTAAAACTTATCCGTTAATTTCGGATTCCGGTATCTCCGCAGATAACCTTGGCCTTGCCGAGATCATCTCGGCGCCATAACCAGGACACGTGGCACCTCAGCTGGCACTTCGGTGCCACCTTGGCCACGTGTTATTCAAAAAATATATCCCCACAACTACCCCTAGGTTCTATTACCTTGGCATCCTGAGGTGATGGAACCTATATCATTTGACCATATAGCACGTCGGCTAAGCTTGCTCTATCCTTCATTACCGAGGTCATCATTCATCCGCTCCATATGACAAAGACTTGCAGTCTGTTTTCATTAATGCCTTAGAACCAAGAACCAAGTTTTTTCAAGTTCTTTAACTGAGATCGTTTCCCTAGCCGAGGTCTTTGCTTCATTAAATCCAGAACTCTAAGAGTTTCTACACGCGTTGGAGTTGTCACGCACAGTAACTCAACCGTTTTCGCCACATGTCTCTTCCCTATTGAACTGTACCTGACACGTGCCATTAGGTCGCGTTGTTTATGCATGCGCTGCCTGACAAACACGTCGTCCTAGGCACACTAATTGTGAGTTTTCTGCTTTTTCGTGTTTTAATCAAAAACACCTCTCTGTCTTCGTTTTTTCACCTTTGCATCTTTCTCTTCTCCCAAGCTTTTCTCTCTCTAACACTTATCTCCCAAATCCTCCATTGTTTCAAGCTCTCAAGCTCTGCAACCTGCTCCGTTCATCCTCTTCAATGAAGCATTCATCGGTCCGTTCCATTCACTGTCGTTGTCTGACTTCAGCGAATCTCACTCTGGCGCCATTTTCTTTGGTAAGTTACTGTTTTTTCCTCTTTTCAGTTTTTTGACTTACTTTGAACTCTGTTACACTTGTACATTGTTTTTGTGAATACATTCAGGCCATGTTTGTTTGGATGGACATGGGCTTAGGATTGGACTAATAGTCCAAGAAATCTATTAATCCGATGTTTGGTTAAAAAATTGAAGTACGGATTAATAATCCTTTCGGATATGATGTTCCATATTTGATGGACTATTCAATCCCACAAAGAGGGGTGAGATATAAATTGGGAGATTAGCCAAAGCCTAGACTAACTCATCAAATGACCAAATTAACCCTCATTATATATCATATTTGTTGATTATTTTATTCTACAACCTTCACTTCTTCGACATTACTGTGGTGGTATGAGAGTCTTCGAAGTTCATCGCCGAGCTTGAGCCACTGATCACCGATTTGGAGCCACAATTTACAAATCTGGAGCAACTGTTCATCTATTTGGATCCACCATTTGTTGATTCGTTGATCTCAACAAGGCAGCTGTTCATCGATTTGGATCCACCATTTGTTGATTCGCTGATCTCAACAAATTTCAGTGAGTAATTTTTTTTTCCCGTTGATGTTCGGTTTGAATTAAGGTGCTATTACGTGGTTTGATTTGCTATGAATCTTTGTTTTACATTGGTGTTGTTATAGTTATTGCTCTTTCTCTCTCTTCATCTCCATAGATCCATATCTAGGGTTATGAGTTTTTTACTCACATTCAAATCTCAGATTTGTTGATTGTGAGTTAAGGTGAAGTTTCTAAAGGCCTGTTAAGGTGAAGTTTCTGGATTAACCTCAAAATTATGTGGTTTGATTTTGGAACCATATCCCTAGTTTAATCTCAAAATCCTTTTCAGTATACAAATCAATGTTTTGTGGTTTGATTTCAAAAATTAATTTCAGCATTTTCGAACCAAATGCAAGTTTCTGAGCTACTAGTTTTGTGGTTTCAATTTCGGAAATTAAGTTTAGCATTTTTTAAACCAAATGTAGATTTTTAGAGCTACAGATTTTCTGATATTTATTTCAAAAATTAACTTCATCATTTTCGAACCAAACAAAAGTTTCCCATTTCGGTTTGTGGTTTCGATTTCGAAAATTAAGTTCAGCATTTTTCGAACCAAAAGTAGATTTTCTGAGCTACAGGTTTTGTGGTTTTTATTTCGAAAATTAACTTCATCATTTTTTAACCAAATCAAAGTTTCCCCCTTTCGGTTTTGTGGTTTTCATTTCGGAAATTAAGTTCAGCATTCTTCGTGCAAAATGCAGATTTTCTGAGCTATAGGTTTTTTGGTTTTTGTTTCGAAAATTAACTTCATCGTTTTTGAACCAAATCAAAGTTTCTCTTTTCGTTTTTGCAGTTTTAATTTCGATTCATCGTCATTATTTTCGAACCAAATCTCCATTTTTTTTTAGCTTTATTTCTTCTTCTCTTCCTTATTGATGTAGTGAAACCTTCAATTTCTTGTGGCCGGTTCGAAAATTAAAGAATGTCCTTACTATCCACTGGAATGGAAAATTAAGGAATTAAAAAATATGGTTGCAGTTAATGAGTTTTGTAATTTTTGTCTTTCAAAGTTACTTTAAATAGAAGACTTGGGTAGTGCTATGAATCCAATGATATTGGCAGGCAAAAATTATATATATATATATATATTGAACTCCTTGATTCAAAATTATATATATATATATATTTATGGCCATCATCTGCTATTTGTGATCAATGTGTTTTCTTGACTGCCAGGCTATGACTTGGATTTAGGTGGTAGGATCTGAAACAGGGCATTTTGATATCCTTTCATCTCATCACTAAAGAGGGCCTGTAGCTCTATTGTGTCTTTTAGAAATTACACTGATCACTATTTTATGTGATTTAATGCTTCTTACCCTGGAAACGTTTTCAGTAGATTCTTACTTGACTGCATTTTTAAAAGTGAGAAATAGAAAGTAGGATCCACAGGGATGAACTGCCATACAAAAATTGCCGATAATTGGAACAAGAACTGCAGTCAACCCAAGTGTACCTTTCACTTGTTATGAACTCATGATAATTATAATGCTTTGCACGTTCGGAGGAAAATTTTTCTTGTTATTACTACTATACACCAAGTTATGTCTGCATAAGTCATCATGGGGTTTTCTCCCCCTCAACTTCTCTATTCAATATCTGTTTTCTGTGTGAATATATTTGTTCTTTGTTATACATTTGTGCATAGGATGTCTATGTTGGAATATGGAAATAATTTACGATCTCATAAATTCTGTATTATGGGATATTAGGCTAGTTTGTTTGGATGTCCTTACTATCCACTGGAATGGAAAATTAAGGAATTTAAAAATATGGTTGTAGTTAATGAGTTTTATAATTTTTGTCTTTCAAAGTTACTTTAAATAGAAGACTTGGGTAGTGCTATGAATCCAATGATATTGGCAGGCAAAAATTATATATATATATATATTTTGAACTCCTTGATTCAAAATTATATATATATACATTGATGGCCATCATTTGCTATTTGTGATCAATGTGTTTTCTAGTTGTCTAGTTGTCTAGATCGTTATTGAATCAAAGCAGTGTTAATGGTGGATCCAAATATTTGCCTAGTTGTTTGAAGCAGAGTGTGACAGTAGTTGAAACTTCCAGGGGAGGGGTTCAGGTGGTTGTAAACACAGCATTGATAGGTCGGGTGTCTGTTATTAGCTGCATTTCCACAAATATAAATGAAAGATCACTTCACAGTATTGAAACTGAAGTATTTGTGGTCAATTCCTTCAATGTTGGTTTTAATTTCAATTAAGTTGTGTTTCACTGGAATTAACATAAAATGGGATGATAATTCTATCATAATGTACATTATGTAAAATACATGGTAAATTGAATCATCATTTACTATTGTATGAGAATGGTAATCCATATGGAGGTTAAATAATAACCATTCTATTTCATTCCGTTTCACCTTCATTCTAATGAACCAGACTAACCTTAGCTTTCCTATGCAATGACTATTCCCATATGATAGTGAATGATGTTTTCACATTTTTAGTGAACCAAAGATGAGAATGGACATTATGATAGCATTAAGGTGTTAACTAAGTTGTGACTCATACATGACTCATATATGGGAAGTTGTGTTCAAATATAAGGGTGATTAGTTTTTAAATATTCTATTATTCATATTTGCTTGAGGTCACCTAGTAATTATTTGATTTATTTAAGACTAAGACTACATGTATCAGGGAATTAATCAAAATGAAACCCCAAACATTGCTTTTATTTGAGTGTCTAGTATGGTATGATGTAATTATTCATGGTAAGTTTTTTGTTTTTTTTTTTCCCTCCCAACCCCCAGCAATCTGGGTTTATTTATTTATTTATTTGTAGACAGTTTAAACAACCCATTTTAAGAATATATTTATAGAGATGGTTATGCTCATATGTTCTACATTATTATTATTTTTTTTGTTTTGTTAATTTTTTTTTGGAATTATGAAGTTTTCTTGTATTCTAATATATTGATGTGTATCACTATTTGCATAGATGGAGTACAATTTTGATGGTTTTGGAGATGAGAGTAATGAGGAGCTTGAGCTATACGTAGTGTTGCAAGTTGTAATGTAAGAATTGTACACCTTATGCGTTGTAGCATATATTGCCATTGAAATTGTCTTGAAGAGGTACATTCATAAGTATCCTCGTACCGTTATTCGAGGCCCCAATCGATTGCAAGAACAAATGGACCACATTAATCGGCTAGTGAGAGAAAGCGACATTACATGCATTGAACAACTTCGTATGGATAGGCGTTGTTTTATGACGTTATGCCATATGGTTCGTATAATAGGCGGGTTGGGGCATTCAAAACATGTTACCTTAGAAGAGAAGATGGCCTTGTTCCTCTACGTCTTGGCACATGACCTGAAAGTATGAAAACTTAAGTTCAATTTCTTTAGGTCCGGAGAGACTGTAAGTCGACATTTCAATGATGTCCTAAAAGCTGTGTTGCGCCTTCAAGGCCACTTACTTAGGACACCAAATCCTATAACACAAGCATGCACTGATCCAAGGTGGAATTGCTTCCAGGTAAATACAGTTTGTAAAACATTTAATAAAATACATTACACATTTTTTTTTACAACTCATAATTATTACAATGTCTTCTATGTATTAGAATTGTCTTGGAGCACTTGATGGAACCTATATTAAAGTTCGTGTACCAGTGGTTTACCAAGCACGGTATAGAACGCGGAAGGAGGAGATAGCTACCAATGTTCTAGGAGTTTGCTCTCAGGACATGAACTTCATATATGTGTTGCCAGGGTGGGAAGGGTCAGCTGCAGATTCTAGGGTTTTGAGGGATGCGATTAATCGATCCAATGGCTTAAGAATTCCAACTGGTAATTAATAAATAATTAACTTTGCTTGATGGAATTACTAAATTTTATTCAATAATAGATTCTAATATATAACATCTCATACAGGGTACTACTACCTAGTAGATACCGGGTATACAAATGGACAAGGATTCCTAGCACCTTATCGGGGCCAACGATACCATTTGTCTGTTTGGAGAGCAGAGGCCACTCCAACTAATTATCTAGAATTTTTTAATATGAAACATGCATCAGCCCGAAATGTCATAGAAAGGTGTTTTGGTTTGTTGAAAATAAGATGGGCAATACTTCGTTGTGCATCATACTACCCCATTAGAACTCAAAACCATATCATCACAGCATGTTGTTTGTTACACAACCTCATTCGTCGAGAGATGCCAGTTAACCCAATAGAAGAGAGGCTAAGTAATGACATAGAAGATCAACCTCAATTGGGAGATGATTTTGTTGACACCGTTGAGACATCTAATGAGTGGACTGGGTGGCAGGACACACTTGCAATGCAACTATATAACAATTGGTTGGCTAGTAGGGAGGCATGACAAGGATAGTTTCAATATTTGTAAAAGTACTTGTTACAAGTATGATGTAGTTTTATTTGATTTGTACTTGGAACTTGTATTAGCTTGTGGATGTTGAACCATGTTTTGCAAAAATTGTATGGTTTTTGTTGGTGATTGCATATTTTTTAAGCGACGATATTTTTTTGTCTCATGGATTTGTTACATGCATGTATGGGTATGAAATTTTTTGATTATTGAAATCCATAATTCATTTATGTGTTGACTTGTTTTGGCACATTAACAGGTTGATAATCAAATAATGGAGACTAACATGCACACTTTTCTTTGTTCTTCTTTGCTAGGCATGGATAGTGAAGTGTCTAGTTCTCGTAAAAAAGTAAAGGAGAAAGTTGATCAGTCAAAACCAAGGCGATTGTGGAGCCCACGAGAAGAGCAATGTCTTATTAATGCCTTGATGCACATTGTCAACAATGGAATGAAACAGGACAATGCCTTCAAGGCCGGCTACCTTATGAAATTAGAGGAGAAATTGTTGGAGATCTACCCGGGACAAACCTTCGTGGCACTCCCCACATCGAATCAAAGATAAAGATATGGAAGAATCACTACAACTGTGTAGCTGGAATGCTTGGTACTAGTGGTTTTGGATGGAATGGCACCGGAAAAAGATTTGATGTTGAGAGTGATAGTGTCTGGGAAGCATGTGTTCGGATAAAATACTTTCTTTTAAGTTACTTTGTATAAGTTATTAATTTTTTAATTCATTTTTATTTAATCTTAAGTTGGAGATATTAATTGAAATTGGTTATTGTAGAGGGAGAGCGATGCGAAAAACCTACGAAACAAAAGTTTTCCATATTTCAACTCATGGATCCACATATTTGGTAAGGATCGAGCTACGGGGGAGTTTGCTGAAGGGCTTGCTGATGCAGTTGATGCTATAAATGCTGAGGAAGAATTGTTGTTCAACAGTCTTGCAGATGATGACACATTTCTTGAACATATGGGTATTAGTAGTTATATCGGCGAGGGAATAAATTGCTCCAGCTCATCAAGTTAACGACCACCTGAAAGTTCTACAAAAAAGAATGGTAACAAGAAGAGGCCTAGAGGCAATGATGATGTAGTGGAAGGGTTGTCCATGATTGCTAACAAGTTGGGTGAGGTATTTTTTGCCACCAATGAAAAACTGGATTTCATTGGTCGAAGAATGGGTTATGAACATGATCTCGCATCTAAACGGGCAAGTTTGAATGATGAACTTATTAAGTTGCCAATTACTCTTGATGAAAGGCTAGATGCTTGTGAGATCATATCACAAAGTACTCAGAAGCTCGACATGTTCTTCAGCTTGGCACATGATGACAAATTAAGGTGGGTGATGAGGTTTGTAACGCCCTCAAAAATAATACATAAAACCCATCACGTCAGACATGCATCGATATAAAAGAAGCCAACTATTTCTATTCATCAGAGTAATCCTTACAACTGTATTACATGTTAACAACAAAAGCAAATGCCCTAAGGGCTTACAGCTTTTCAAGTTAACACTTGGTTGCAAAAGGAAAGAGTACTAACTTAATACATATTAAGCCCTTGGCTTGAATTTACATGTAATACATCGAAATAAACAAAAAGAGTCTTCAACTCTCATCATCATCCAAGCTATGTCTTTGGAGGTGGCATACTACCTGTACCTGAAAATAATGTCCCATAAAGGGTGAGCCAACGCCCAGTAGAGATATGCTAAACACAGTATGAGCAATGACTAAGACATTAGCAATTGATAAATGTTCAATTTCTATTTTACTAATTCATAAACCATTTCCATTTCATGACCACCATGTTCATATTTCATTTAAATTTCCATTTCTTATCAATTTCACAATTTATATCAACGGCTCAGAACCTGGCCAACCATTTCTCAGAGACGGTAACTCATATTAGACATTTCCTATTTTTCAGTAGATAAACATATTAGTTGTATCAACATCCCAACAGATAAGTATACAAGCTGTATCCACATTTCAACAGATATGCATATTAGCTATATCAACACTTCCAATGACAAGCATATAAGCTGTGTCAACACTTCCAAGGATAAGCATATGAGCTATATCAACACATTATCTGACAAGCATATGAGCTGTATCAGTGGAGTCCATCCCCTATCTTCCCCTAAACCGTGGAGTACATCCCCTATCGTCCTCCCCCACACACACCATGCTATATTATACACAAAGTCAATATCAATCAGTCAATACTAACGTTAATGGTATTCTGTCAACCGTCATACTCTATGACATATTCAATTGATTAGGTTTAGTTTGCCTAATCATCTGCAAATTGTCTACAACAATCAAAACTACCCATCCACCGTTTAGCCCAGCCATATTATTTCTAAACAGTAATAAAAGCTCCACAGATAAATATCAATGTTTTTTCAAAGGCGACGATTATAATATCCAACTCCATCACTTTCACAAACTAATGAGCCAATTTATTATTCCAACTCAATTCCAATAAGTTCACAATTTTTCCAAATTAATTATACCAATTAAATTCAACCCAAATTAGGTTTCTATCCCATTGGTCTCAATATTGACCCAGATGGTCTAAATATCAACCACCAACATCAATACACCCATTTTGAAACCCAAAATACATATTATGAGCCCAAATTCACAAAACCTTCTTTAACACATTTTGAAACCCTAAGTGCCCAAACAACCAACTTCAACATTTACAAAACAACAAAACATCTAGGTCAAAGACCATAAGAGTGAGTAGGAACCCGTACCTCAAAAGATGACACCCAACAAAGAAGATGGTGAAACGAAAATGCTCTAAACGCGAGTTTCTCGGATCAAAAGATAGCCCTCGACGATCAACAACCTTTTTGTAAAGACCAAAGGTGAGGAAAACACCCTAGCTAGATCAATATCTAGAGAGAAGGCAAGTTTTAGAGAAAGAGGCTCTCAAATGGCTTTTTCGGAAAAGTAAGAGAGAGAAAGGATGAGAAAAAGTGATTTAAAACTGCCTCACAGCCAACTGATATACGACATTCCCGCTCGAGCGGAAAACACAACGCTCGAGCATCAAGAACAAAAACTAGGTCCACTCGAGCGCAAAAAGACCGGCTCGAGCGCCAAGACACAAGAATAAAGTAAACCCACTCGAGCGCGAAAACCAGTCCGCTCGAGCGTAGATTTCCCCCTCCCAGAACTTACACCCAAAGGTACTACCCGCTCGAGCGCCACAGTACCCGCTCGAGCGTGAAAAACACACCTGCAGAAGTTTTGCAGGGACATGAAAAACTGGGAGTGTGCAATCTCCGCTCGAGCGCAAGAAGGCCCACTCGAGCGGACCTCCTAAAAACTGGGCAACAAAGAATTGAAACCAAAGCCTAACCAACCTGTAACAACTCTGCCCAATACATCCTAAAACTCAATCAAGTGGAATTAAAGGATGACAACAAGGTGTACCACTACCAACATCACGGAACCGAGTCCGGAATACAACAGAATAGTAAAGGGACAACCGGGATCGCTATAACCTCCTCCCCTTAAAGAATTTCGTCCCCGAAATTAAATACAAGTTTTTCAAAAACAAAATTTTCTCAATTCTCAACAATATTACGACATAATATTAGACAACCCGACCCATTACCGGTCAATCCTATCTCTTTTCAACAGGCATAACACATTATTCAAAACAACTTGCATTATCAACATGCATTCCTTTGAAATTTACCAATTTCAACTCATTCCCACAATTCAATCATACATGCAACATTATCATCATGCTTGCATTTCCATGATACATTGAACATATGCAATGTTATACAAACTTCCATTAACCAAAACATTCACAATGCTTTACAACTTAAGACACATACAATGTTCTTAAAGTTCAACAATATTACAGAATTTCATTATAAAATTACACATCAATAAACATGTCCGGATACTTCTCACGGACTTCCAACTCACGTTCCCAAGTGGCTTCCTCCACTCTGTAATGTTTCCACAACACCTTTACCAAGGGAATGGTCTTGCCTCACAAGACTTGATCCCGCCTATCCAAGACCCGCACTGGTCTCTCCTCATACGAGGCATCCTCATCTACCTCCAAGTCGGTCCAATCTAACACATGGGATGGATCCGGCTCATACTTCCGAAGCATACTCACATGAAACACGTTATGCACTCCGGACAACTGCGGCGGTAAGGCTAAACGATAAGCAACCTCGCCAATCCTCTCAAGGATTTCAAAGGGACCAATAAACCGAGGGGATAGTTTCCCACTTTTCCCAAATCTCATCAACCCCCGCCTAGGTGATATCTTTAGAAAGACATGATCACCTACCTCAAACACTAAAGGTCACCTCCTATGGTCGGCATAAGATTTCTAACGACTCTGGGCTGTAACCAGCCTCTTACGGATAAGCTCAATTTTCTCCGTCGTTTCCCTCACCAATTTCGGACCCAACAAAGGTACATCACCCACCTCGGCCCAACACACTGGAGACCTACACGGTCGGCCGTATAAGGCCTCAAACGGTGCCATATCGATACTAGACTGAAAGTTGTTGTTGTAGGCAAACTCTACCAATGGCAAGTGCCTCTCCCACGTCCCACTGAAGTCCATGACACAACCTCAAAGCATATCCTCAAGGATCTGAATAGTACGCTTGGACTGCCCGTCAGTCTGAGGATGATAAGCTGTACTAAAGGTCAACCTAGTGCCCAACGCACTCTGCAAGCTCTGCTACAACCTAGCAGTAAAACGAGGATCTCTATCTGAGACGATCGTCACTGGGACCCCGTGCAATCTCACTATGTCCCGAATATACAAGTCGGCGAGATGATCTACCGAATCTCTCACGCGCATAGAGATGAAGTGCGCCGACTTAGTCAACCGGTCTACAACCACCCAAATGGCATCACTACCCCGCTGAGTCCTCGGAAGACCTACAACGAAGTCCATAGTGACATGCTCCCACTTCCACTTGGCAATAGGCAAGGGTTGCAACAAACCCGCTGGCCTCTGATGCCCGGCCTTCACTTGCTGGCAAGTAAGGCACTTAGACACGAAGACAGCCACATCTCTCTTCATACCCCGCCACCAAAACTGGCGACCCAAATCCCGATATATCTTAGTGCCTCTCGGATGCACCGTAAGGCGTGAATGATGGAACTCTTGGAGTACTTCCTCTCGGCAAGACTCCGGCACAAACAGACGGTCTCGGTATCTCACACTCAGGTCAGGATACACTGTCAAACCCTTCTCAGCCTTCCCATTTAAGATCTTCTCTCGGAGGGACTCTACCTCAAGGTCACCTCTCTGTGCCTCTAACACTCGAGTCACAAGTGTAGGCTGCGCAACAACAGAAAATAAGGCCGCAACCTCAACAGATTCGCCCAGATGCAAATCAAACTCGTCAAGTGTCCACAACATCTCCCATTCCCAGATGGCTATACAAGCTACATCACTAATGGGTTTCCTACTAAGGGCATCGGCCACAACATCGGCCTTTCCTGGGTGATAGTGCAACTCAAAATCATAGTCCTTAATGAACTCCATTCATCTCCTCTGTCTCAAATTCAAGTCCCTCTGTGTAAACAGGTACTTCAAACTCTTGTGGTCCGAGAACACCTCGAACCTCTCACCATAAAGGTAGTGCCTCCAAATCTTCAAGGCAAATATCACTGCTGCTAACTCTAGGTCGTGTGTAGGGTAATTCTTCTCGTGTATTTTCAACTGACGTGAGCCATAAGCTACCACTTTTCCCTCTTGCATCAACACACAACCCAAACCCTCTCGTGAAGCATCACAATAAACCGCATAACCCAACCCTCTTTCTGGAATAATCAAAATCGGAGTGGTGGTCAATCTAACCTTCAACTCTTGGAACAACTTTTCGCAAGTCTCACTCCACACAAACTTGATCCCTTTTCGCGTCAGTTTAGTCAATGGCGAAGCTAGCCTGGAGAAATCTTTCACAAACCGACGGTAATACCCAGCTAATCCCAGAAAATTGCGGATCTCAAACACATTTTTAGGCTGTGCCCAATCTTGCACTGCCTCA